GTCAGGCAATAGGAGGTCAGTAGAGCACAGTGTAACTTTTTTCTCTTTTCTATTTCCCCTCTTGACTGAAATGAAATTTTTGCTGGCAAAAATCAGTGTCTGTAATGGCTGTGAACTCTTCACCCTGCTCTGAGAGACTGGGTCTGTCTTAAGACCTGTTTATTCTTCAGCTTATGAAAGTGGCCATCAACCAAGCCTCTGGAAACTGAGCTTAGTATAAGGAGTGTGTGAACAATATTAGTACACGAACTTATCCTGCGGAGAGGCTTCCTCTTCCAAATCATTACTGAACTGGTAAATGCTCATAAGAAAAGAATACGCAACCTAGATTTTGGTGGTAGAGCCAGTAGGGATGATGGTGAGTTTGTGATGTGGGTGTGGAAAGGGGTGTACAGAGAATGAGCAAATACGCTATTAGGGCATGGAGCAAAAGGTACAGTGTTCCCCTGCATATGGGGAAAAGAAATGAAAATATAGTAGATGTAGGACAATGGCATTTGTGACTGTAAGTGCTGCTGTGATGCAGTGTTCCGGGTATGCATGGGGCTACAGGAGATGATTAAACATATGAGAAGACGAGAAGGTGGAGTGAGGGCTTGGGAGCATCACTGTGGGCATCTGTCCGTTGTGACCATTCTCATCCTTGGGATGTGGAACTGTGCTGATGCTGTTGGCTTCACCATGGTGGAGCACTGGCTGTCGTGTGATATGTCGTGTGACGCTGTCCTGACTGAGAAAAGTGGTCCTGCAATTTCAGATAGAAAGTTTGGCCACTGCTAGCCTAAACCATGAAGACCTTACTTGTTGCACATACAGTGAAAGCTTGTCTGAGCAGAGTTGTGGAAAGTCAGTCCCAAACAGTTTTCAAACGTAAAGAGGGTCTTCCAAGCTGCACGATCTGTATTTCATGTTTGAGATGAAACCTGAAACCCAGAATGTATTTGTATGTTAATTTTTGGTTGTAAATACTTTTTGTAGCTCCAAAAATTGTAATTCCAGAGTTTCTCCTGTCAGCAAGCCTAACCAAACAGTATTACTGACAACTTTCCAAATACTCTAACTAATTGAAAGTTGAAGTTGCCACAATATCAGAGAAGGAAACTGAAGAAACAACAGACTAAAGTGGATAGGACTTGTAAAATGACGTCTGTATGGGATTAAAAGTTAATTGAGTTTTGAGGAAAAAACCAATACGATTAAAATGGGACAAGGGGAGTGGCGGAAGTTATCTTTACTCTTTCTTAACTATTGGTTTATTTTGAGTGCCGCTGAGTTAACCAGATACTGCTGTGGTTCGCCGCTGAGTAGCTGAGTTAACCAGATACTGCTGTGGTTTCCCTACTTGCAGAACAAATGTGCCAGTACTTCTACGTGGCTCTGATCTAAGAGCTTTCTGGGTTGGCTTTTGGGTTCCTTGTCTACATGTGAAATCTGTGTTCATATTTGAACTCTTCTTATGATCTCATAAATTGAGGACAGCAACGTCCTTCTGGTGGGCTTGTCCCTTTCCATTTTGCAGCTATTAATACAATAGAACCAGAGCCACTATATCCATGTGTTTGAGGATTTGAACTTTAAAATCAAAGGGCCTGATTTTTATGAGTACAGAGCACAGATTTTTTTGAGCCAACACATTGGTGTCTCTAACTTGGATACTCATGGTTAGAGGTTTTTATTAAGAGCATGGCCCTTCTCCTCTTCATGGAATATTATTGGGAGTATGGGATAACGTTATTGCATGAGAGTCTTGTGAAATAGGGTTATTGGAATAGGTATCACAAAAGGTTTCTGTACCTGTAAAAAATACGGTCATTGGAGGGCTAAGCTCTCACAGCTAACTGCACAGCACAGCCCTAAGCATTTGCAGAACTGAATAGGATTTACTGCAAACCAGGGTTGTTGTTACTTTGTCATCTCAGCTGTTTTTCTGATGGCAGTGGAGATTGTGAGATCTGCTTCCCTACAAAACTGTTTTTCTTCTCTCCTAAACATCTGCCCCCGCTTTACATGAGAGCAGTACCAGTAAGTCACCTCTTGTGCCTGCTACAGCATTTATGACTACTGGCTGGAAGCGATTTGAAATACTGGGGTGGTTTCAGTGTTGCAGAGGAAATCTTCAAGACTTCCTTTTCTCAGGAAGTTTAGATGTTTATTGCGCCTTTTATTCTGGAACAAGGAGCTTTTTCCCTCTCCTGTTATGTCCTACTCCGAACACCACAGTAGGTGATCATGAGACAGTGGCCATGGCTAGTGTGTCATGTTGTGTGACCCCCCACAAAAGTCATTTTCCCTAATTTCTCTGTCAGGTCAGGCAAGCAAAATTCTCCTTAGAAAGTTTTTTTTATGTGCCGTCTATGGCTTCCCAGCTTGTAATACATGCTATGGCCCATGCTAATTGGTGCACCAAACTATACATGCTGATTTACCAGCACATTGCTATGAAGAACCAAAGATCTCTTTCCTGCAGCAGAAACAGTAAGTTGATAATTATTTTTTATCCAGGCTTAATTTTCTTAAAACTTGAAGAAATTTGGTTATTTTTCCAGACTTCTTCCACTTTTTCCACACTTGGTTGAAATTTGTCAACGCCATTGTAAGTTATTTCTTGAAAACCATAGCATAAATTATAAATCTTATTTACAAAAGTTGAAATGATGAAAAATCCCTGCGAAGAGAGGATTTAAAGAAATTCCCACAAGCATACATTTGCGCAGTATCTAAGCACCAATCTCCTAGGTGGGTGTGGATTAAAACTTACATAAACCAGGAAAAGTAGATAAACAGATCGCTTCCCTCCGTTTCACGCAGGGTAGAAACTGCGTTGATTCATCAGCTCTGCTTTCCCCTCAATACCCTCAGTCTGCAGAAGGATTGCCCATGGGCAGTTCTCTGCAGTTGATGTCTTTTTAGCTACGTGTGTCTAAGAAGGTCCAGGACAACTTTCCTGAACAAGATTCAGTGCTCCTACAAATCTTTAAGCATCCTTTTCCTGCACTGCCAGCCTGACTGAGATACCTTTTTGCATGGTATAATTTGACAGGCCCTCCTTGTCTTTGGGCTAAGGGCAAAATCAAGATTCTGCTGATATATTTTTGTTACGCGTTTCTTCCTAAGATTAGCGAGACCAGTCTGTCTTCTGGGTTCAGCTATCTTGGTGCTTCGAGCTTGATACTGGGTGCTGGCAGCATGGTGCTGCCCATGCTGCACATGTCATGATTAGGGTTTTATCTTCACAGATGAGGCAACCTCACTAACTGCGTGTGGTCATGGGGGTTAGGTTCAGGCTTAGATTGCTTTTTTTCAGAACCCAAGGTTTCATGAACGGGCAGTCTTTCTACTAAGACAGCAGATAATGAGTAATACGGTATGGAGGAATATGCAGCTTTGGTTAGGTCCCCAGACTCAGCAGCAGCAATTGATGAGAGGAAGGGCATCAAAGGAAGCATTTGATTTAGTACTTCCACTGGGAAGCTGCTACCCTGAAGGAGCCATGAATACCTTGTTTCCTCCCTGCTATTTTCCCACAACATCCCAGGGAACAGTAATGGAGCAAATGTTGCAGCCTTACCGGGCCACAGCTTTTCCCAGTAACACAAGAGGGAATAAGGAAATTATGTTCCGCTTTTGATTGTGTGCATAATGTCTGGTAGTTATTCAAACATGGTCACAGAACAGCTAAGCAAAGATACTTCAACTGATTAAACAAAGCATAACTCTGAGGTAATTTGCAAGTCTTGCTTTGCTAGCTTGACAAACAGTACAGTACGGGGAAGTGGGATCATAATGAATGGCAGTCATAAAACCAAATAATTTTCTGTATGAGGCGCTGGCTTTATATACATGGGAGAGGGCTATTTCTATAACTATTGCTTACAATGGATGCTGGAGCAGTGCAAGGAACATCAGCAGCGGCTAGGCACAAGTATCAATTGGGAGAGGAGCGGCTGGAGAGCAGCCCTGCGGAAAGGGATGTGGGGGTGCTGGCTGACAGCAGGCTCAATGGGAGCCAGCAGAGTGCCCTGGCAGCCAAGAGGGCAAACCGCATCCAGGGGTGCATCAAACACAGCGTGACCCGCTGGTCAAGAGAGGGGATTATGCTGCCGTATTCAGCACTGGTGTGGCCTCACCGTGAGTACTGTGTGCAGTTCTGGGCCCCGCCAATTAAGAAGAGTGTGAAGGTCTTTGAATGTGTCTAGAGGAGGGCAACAAAGCTGGTGACAGGGCTGGAAGGCATGTCCTGTGAGGAGTGGCTAACGGCTTTGGGCTTGTCTAGTTTGGAGAAAAGGAGGCTGAGGGGCGACCTCATTGCTCTCTACAGCTTCCTGAGGAGGGGACGTGGAGAAGGAGGTGCTGATCTGTTCTCCCAGGGATCCAGGGACAGGATGTGAAGGAATGGCTCAAAGCTGCACCAGGGGAGGTTTAGACTGGACATTAGGAAGCATTTTTTTACCAAGAGGGTGGTCAAACACTGGAACAGGTTTCCTAGTGAGGTGGGCGATACCCCAAGCCTGTCAGTGTTTAAGAGGCGTTTGGACAATGCCCTTAAAAACATGCTTTAACTTTTGGTCAGCCTTGAATTGGTCAGGTAGTTGGACTAGGTGTTCGTTCTAGGTCACTTCTAACTGAAATAGTCTATTCTATTTTATTATCTTAATTGCTTTATTTATCATTATTTGATTTCCTGAATTTAATAGAAGGATCTCAATATAGCTGAAATGGATGTGATTCTTTATTAGTTTGCATTTTGGGGCTAGGACTGGATCTACTTGTAGGAGTGCAAATCAGGAGCGACTTCACTGAAGTCCCTGGCAAAATCTGAGTGACATCTTACTAAGATTCCATGCATAAAAAGGATAAATTAAATTCCTTGGTCAAAAAGTTTTTGTACTGCCTTCACGTGGAGTATGAATGTCTCAGTGTTTTTATTGTTATATTACATACAGATACATACAATTGCATCAATACATACTACAGTGTGTTCTCTGTGTATTTGCTCTTAGTGCAATAGCATCAATCTTACGAGCCTGGCTTGATCAGTGCTCTGAGGATTTCAGAGAGCCACCCGACTACCCATGTTTGCTGAAGTTGCTGGATTACCTGAAGAAGAATATACCTGGTTCTGACCCGGAGAAGAGGGCACAAAACCTCTTGGAGCAGTTCCAGAACCAAGAAGTGGAAAATGACAGTAAGTTACCTTTCCCTTCTGTCTTTCTGGTCTCCCAGACTGTATGGTACCAAGGGATTTATGTGCAGTACACTTCAACTCTTATGCTAATAGATAATATAGTAAGGCTCACCAGTAACTTTTTTCTTGTTTCTTAAAAAAAAAAATAAAAATCTCTGTATGAGGCTGCAGGTTCTGTGCAGGATGAAATAGTTGTACAGTGTAGGTGCCTATGCCTGTTCATTCTGGGGTGGATTGGGAAATCCAGCACTTCTCTAATAATTAGCCAAAGCTTTGAGATTGCTGCAGCGACTAAGTGGTTAATTGTCAGTACACTTGAATTAAAACGCACAGCTGCTCTTTAGCTGGTCTTCTCATTTCACACAGGGCCCCCGCCCCCGAAAAACCCAAAACAACAAAAAGCAAAATACAGAGCTGCAACAAAATACAGCTTCAGTCACAAGCCTTATTGTCACGAAGCTTTTCTTCCTAGTTACCATCATGTCAAAGGAAGTGGCTGTGGCTGTTTTTTCCTATTTGAGTGGCCGGCTGCTGGTATCCAAGGACAGAGGAAAAACTTACGTTATTGGGGGTCACAATCTACTGAAACAATAGTGAACTGTAGTAACACAAATATGCTGCATGCAGCGTCAAGACTGACACATACCCTTATCCTGGACAGAAAGCTTCCTGTGGCATAAGTTGAAAAGTCATAGGAGCTCACGTAGTGTGTGAATGAGAACTAGAATCAACTTCCAGCTTTGGTAGAGGGGCAAGAGGGAATAATTCATGTAATAAAGGATAAGGGAAATGACAGGAAAAAAAATTCATCCCATAAAAATCATGTCTGCTGGATGTTCCAGCAATACAATGTCAATGCATAACACTGTGAAATGCCAAATGAACTCTGTCATTAACACATATGTAAAAAGGAGTACGCACAGAGCCCAGGTGTTTTCCTTATTGAACACAGGTAAAGTGAACAGGATTGCTAATATGTGCATATTAATGTCCTTTCCTGGGTTTGGTTCCCACAGGTCAGACAAAGAAAGCTCATGAGAGCTATATTTGGGTTCATCTGTTGTTCAAAGTGAGCAAAAGTTCCCAGCAGCCCCAATTCTGCATTTGTTTCCTCAAGTAATACTTGAAAAGTTTCTTTTCTGAGTTATAGATGGGTCAATCTGAATGATAACATTTTCCAAATTGTTGCAGAATAGAGGTTGTTAATTCGAATAAAATAAGAGGAAGAGAAAGCAATTAACCTGAGGGGTCTGCAGAGAAGACTTTTAATGTTGTCACTTACTTTAGCAGAGCTCCATCTTGGTTCATTTCAGAGATTTCTTTCAAAACTCTTAATGTGTTGTCTGCAATCAAGATTTGCTGATAATTATTGTTCTAAAGCATTCATATCGTGTTACGAATTTACAAATTTGGGACCTAATCCTACAGTTTGATTTGTGTAATCAGACCTCCATTCGGTGCTGCTATCAGCCATGCCAGTAGATTAGATTGCAGTACCAGATACATAGATAAATGCTGTTCCCTGGCCTCAGTGCTTGCAGCTTGAGCAATACAAAGCAAGGTGAGTCAGAGAGTGCAAATTCAGAAGGGGCTTCTGTTTGTTCTCAGTGAAGTCAAGAGGGTAGTTGGGCTTTTGAGAGGGCTAAATGGATCAGAGCAATTTGAAGATGATGAAATACTTGAGTATAAGAGGATTCCAGCTTCTTGGGGAGCAGGGAGAAGACTGGTTACACATTTATGAAGGTGAGAGAGAAAGGGGGACAAGAGGCATGAAAAAAGAAAAATAAAATCTTGTGTTGCACTCCAGGACCTGAATTTAAGGGCGCTGTGAGGTTTTGAGCAGGGTTGCAACCCAGTGATGAGGATTTTCAGTTGAATTTCAAGAGCTGAAAGGAAAATGAAAAGTTACATAGCCAAAAAGAGAAAGAAAAAAGTGTGACTCTTGTAACAGTTCTGTAGAAGTCCATTTAATTATGCACATTGTTACAAAACAGCCATGGAAAAATAAGGCCTGAACAGAGACCTCTATTTATCACATTTAGCTCTGTCAATAAATTGTGCAATTGGAATGTACAGATGGAAATCTGGATACAGCCTGTAGTTATAATTTGTTATATCAAAACTATCAGTTGACATTGATGATTAGGTTTTGCTAATTAAGAAAGGAAGGGAAAATGAAGTATTTGGAAAAACAATGATGAAATATCACTATCCGCGTTTGTTGCTTTAATGTCTGTTCTGCTTTAATTGGATATGCAATATTGCATAACATCCTCTGAAATGCCCTGCTTGTTTTTTCTAAGGAAATCGCTCCAGTAGTAAACTCAGTACTTTCATTGCCAGTCTTCAACAAGTCTGTGTTTTCTTCTCCCTTCTTTTGGAGTTACTGTTGCCTTACAGTAAAAGGGATTAGGAAGAGGATTTATTTTCAGGGATTTTCTGTTTGACTTCCTCCTCTACCATGGGAAACAAGGGCATATTTCTTTCTGTTTTAATGTGGCTTTGTTCCCAACCTGTGTGAGCCAAAAGGTAACGTGGGAACATCTGTGAAATCCTTTCCCTTCTGCACTGGATCAGGTCCCTTGATGAGGATAGCTCTCCTCTCTCACCTCTTCACTGTTGCCCAGTGCAAATTTAGAGGCAGCATTCAGCTGAATGCTGTAGGTTCTCACTGAATTCCCTTTTCTGGGAAAAATTCCCGAGAGGGAAGGTGAGGAATACTGGAGTAAACTCTCTTCAATATAGTCCATGTAGCCCTGTGAAGGCACAAATGATGCCAAGAAAATCTGATGCCTCCTTTTATTTCCACACATGGGATGTGAAATCAGGATGTGAGAGCATTCCTAATGCAATATTTTGGGGATGCAATTGCAGTCTCATCTCTTTGCAGATCGATTTTTTTCTTTCTTTTTTTCATATAAAATGCATAAATACAGAAAGGTAGATTAATAAAATTCTGCAGTGTTAATAAGGAATTTTTGTTGGGGGGGGTGGTATTTTTTTATTTCAGAAGAATGGTTAGTGAATGGGTTAACCCACTTCTCAGCTAAGAGACCCTGAACAGCTCAGTTCTGTCTAACTCTATTACTTTTTTCTTCTGCCTTTTCCTTGCCAATTTAACCTTCTGGTCATCATCTTTCTCACTAAAATATGCAGCATAGTGGGGCCATTACATCAGGTAGGACTCTTTCGGTGTTCTGCTATAATATATACAGTGATGTTTTAAAATAAACAAACATCTGCTTTGATTCACTGTTTGCTGTACAAATTTACTAAGTTGTGTTTTCCATCCTGGCCAGATGGGTCCCTTAGCACTTCCACCTCTAACCTATGTGATGAAGAGGAAACGGAGACCAGTCCAGAAGAATTCTCTCTTTTCCAAGAAGACCTTGTGGCAGAACAGTTGACATACATGGATGCAGTATGTAGAGTACATGTACTACTTGAAATGCTAGAAGAAATAGTGCTGGGCTTCTAAAATTTTTCTTAAAGTTATGCTGATTATAAGTATAGTGTTGCAGAACAGGTCTGTTGGTACACAAAACACAGCTTTGCTCAGTTATCCAAACGTGCTTCATTCATTGGGCTTTTTCCTTCAGTCATTCTGAAGGTTTGTCTGGGTTGGGTTTTTTTGTTTTTTTTTTTTTTAAGTGTTAATGTATACTGTATAGCCTTTTTTTGCAAAATTTAGTATTTGACACCTGAGAAATCACACATTTTAACTACATTGCTACCTGGCCTAAAGATGTATAGGTACTCCTAACTGTAGGGCTCTGATTTGGTTTCTCTGTATCAATATTCTTCAAAATATCATTATATAAAAAACTTTCCCCTTGGTTATGCTACTGATGTAAAGGTGTCTCTTATTTTCCCAGGACAATTTAACTGAGAGTTGTTTTAGGGCATCAAGACTTTAAAGAGTATGCCAAAGTATATATTTTAAAGTAACAGAAAACAAATATTTACCTTTGGATCTAAATCTAATATGGTATTCAATTTGTTCTGTAAACATGCATTTCTTCTTGTGGACAATAGAGATCTAGGAGAATCCTGCTGACTTAACACACCTCTACTTCACTCTAGAAACTCTTCAAGAAAGTTGTGCCTTACCACTGTTTGGGAAGCATCTGGTCTCGAAGAGATAAGAAAGAAAATGAGCACCTGGTACCTACCATCAGAGCCACCATCTCTCAGTTTAATGCAGTTACCAAATGTGTTGTCAGCACTATCCTGACAAGCAAAGAACTCAAAACACAGCAAAGAGCCAAGATCATTGAGAAGTGGATTCATGTTGCACATGTAAAGCATTTATTCTAGACTGTTTAATGTTTTCTTGTGCGGGTGCCTTGGAGTGAGGGAGTTGGGAGGGGAGAAAGGGGTTGTATGCGTTGGTCCTGGGCCAGTGAACATCTTAGCTCTAATTTTTTCTGGGTTTTGACTGACTTTCTTTGTAATAGCAGATGCAGTATTGCCCTTCCTCTCCTTAGTTCCTTCCCCACCATGGAAATGGGGTTGATGCTTGTCTCTTCACAGGGTTAGGGGTGCTAATTAATGGGCGAGGCAGATACTGTGCCTTACAGATTCGGAGTGCCATATACTTGATAATGTAACATTTAGAGCAAGATAAGTATAAATTCAGCTAGTTCACTTTCCTAGGAAGAAAATACTGCTTATATCAGTGCAAGAACTGAAATGATGGTTGATATCATCCAAAGGTTACACTTGTTTTCAGAAGAAAGTTTAACAAGAATGGAGTAGGTCTGGCAGTGGTGCAGGCACAATCAGAATAAGCTTTGCGTTTAGCTGCCTTTGGGCATTCATGTTCACTCAATGAGCATCATGCTCCCTCTCCTGCATCTATGAACACCATGAGAGTTGAAATCAGATATGGTGGAAGACAGCACAACTGTTTGTTTTCATACTTTTATATATATGTGTATGTATATATGCAAAGAAAGTAACTACAGGGTTTTAAGTAAGCGCGGACAAAGCTAACTTCTAGGAAGCAGTAGCCTCTTTAATATGGAAAAAATGAAACTATTGTTTCTACTCTTTTGTTTTGAAAAATTCTTGGGGCTGAAAAGTCATTTGCCTACTGAGTTGTTCACAGTTTTCATTAGGTAGACAAAACAGCTGAGAGGTTTGAGAGGTGCAAGCAGTGACCAGAAAAAATAACTAGAGTTACAATATGGTACCAGTCTCCTCATCTTCTTACCTTTCTGCTTTATCATTGTCTCACATGTTGTTTTAACACATTTTTACTCTTTGGTTCAATTCCTTTGTCATGTAGCAGATCAGGTGTTTCTTAATCTTTGCATGAAAGGCTTTTGTATGCTGCCTTTACATAACTACTTTGCTAATTTCTTAGATTATATCTTTAATATTTTACTGTAGTGTTTTTAACTCCCCTTCAGAGCACTGGGCAGCTGGCACTAAGCTAGATCTCTCTTTTGAAGAGAACATTAAAGCACTCTCATATGGATGTGTGTTGACTTTTGTTTTAAGAATCACATGGATTCTTTCTGAGCTATACAAAATAAGCAGTCATAAAAAGCTCAAGCCAAACAGAGGCTTTCCAACCTTGACAATGCACTTCTGTACTTCCAGAGGCAGTATTGTTAGTCCTGGCACCTAAGCTCCGGCAACTGCATGGTTCAGGAAACTGGTATGGGGAAGTAGTCTTTCACCTCTCTTTTGGCACTTACATCGACTCATTTTTGTTATCATCTGATGGCTGCTTTATAGCCTGTGTGAATGGATTAGGAAGTTTGCTGCCTATTTTCTGTGTACAGATCTTTAAGTTGCAGAGGGTACCAGCTAAAGGGGCCCTTACAGGGCAGACTGGTCTGCAGTCTGGGTGAGGAAGTATGAAGCAGCTTCCTGCTCATCATGGGCCACCAGGAAGGCCTGGGGAAGCCAGTACAGGCACCAGCTCATCATACTTGTTCTGTGGATGGAGAGCTTTGCTCTTCACCTCTGTTGATTCAGTCCTTCTCCCTTACTTAATTCATACACATAATTAAATACTTCAGTCTTAGCTAAGCACATGAAAAATGCATGTGCACGCTCTACAAAATAATTGCGCATGTAGAACACCTAGTTGCATATATACTTAGCTGTCCACTTCTGAAGAAAGTGGTTTGCTTTTTGCATGCAAATGAGAGTTTTGAATAGTTAGATGCCTGAATTAGAAAACAATCCACTCATTAAAGTGCAGTTATTCACTGACAGCTAATTCTGTAACTTAGCAGCATGGAGTTCCATGTTTGTTATCTGTTTGTGACTTTTGGATCCAGTTTCTTAGTTTACAAGATAAACTGAATACTTTTTCTAACTGCCAGTCCTCTGCTCCACCTAGGTCTAAGGTTCCTGAGCAGGAGCAGCCAATTTCACTCAGACAATATTTTCTTTAAAAATAAGTAAAAATGAAGTCATTAAAAAAAAATAAAAAATTGAGCATAACAGGATATTAATCAAAGTTGCTTCTGCACATGATTCTTTCTGGTTTTCCCCTTGTGAAGGACACAGCATGAAACAAAATTATTCAAAGCAGTCCTAAAAATTTTTATATACAAATGAAACATTGCTAAAGTTTAGTCTGCAGTCAGTTAAATCATCGAGAACACAAAATCCAATATTGAATTCCTAATTTGCTTTAAATTATGCAACGTGCAATTAAGCCAAGATGGTTCCAAATTAGATCTTCCAGTCCAAACTCCTGTTGTATTTGGGAAAAAAAAAAAAAAAAAAAGCTAAGAATTTGTGCCTCTAAATCTACATTCTCCCCAGCTTGAAATTCAAGTTGAACATAACGAAAGAAGGATCTCCTTCTCAAATGTGTCAGTCTCTGAAGAAGAGCTGTTATGTGGCTTTTGTCCCCAAAACATGCAAAAATAGCTTTCAGGTCTTGTGTGCCCTACCATGTGATCTTGAACCTGGTCTTTATCTAGCCCAACTGCCACCCTGCTTCAAGTGCTGTCTGCCCAGTCAGTCTTCTTAAGCCACACTTTTTTAAACGTGGCCTCTTAAGTTGCACAAAGATTTTTAATTTTTTTTAGGTAAAGAAATGGCAGTAAATGTACTTGCCTCAGTTGTTCAGTCAATTTTAATGCACCTCGTGAAAGAGTTGCTGATATATTAAGGTCTGAGTTTTGTTTATGCTAAGGTTGTTTTACATTTGTTCAGTCCTACAAAGGAAATAAATTATGTCTATTTTCACTGTAAGGATCCTTTACATAATCAGCACTATTAGTGTAATAATCAGCCCCATAAAAATCCGTAGAAGCGGAATTGTAGTTTGAATACATTCTCATTTATGTGCAACAGTCAATTGGCATGGGTTTTGTCTGCTTAATTTGCATGTACAGACACCTGTTTGTGAGAGCTTGTATTTGCAAGAGTTTCTTAGGTCTGTGGTGCCCGTGCTCCGGTTCATGAGCCACCACCAGATTTACAGGAGTTCCTTGAAGAGTCACAGGACAGACTTTCTCCCTGCTGCTCCTTGCTTTCATCTGCTTTGCCAGAAATCTTTGCTTTTTTTTTTTTTTTGAGAGTTAAGTTTTTCAGTGTCCTTTTCCATCAAAACTTTTGCCATAGAGAAGCTGCATAAGAAATGTCTAGGTACCAGTCCCTGTTAGGATTTGATCCTAAATCCTGGAAAAGCTGGGAAGGTTTTTCTCGTTAACATGTGCACATACTTGAATAACAGGTTATTCCTTTGCATGTCTTTATTTTTAATTGACACTTAGATGATTGAGGGTTTACATTTTAAATACCACATAGAAAGAGGCAAAGCCTGGTTTTTACCCTAAAGGGTAAAAGGGATTAGTAACTATAAAGAGCTTTTAAAGAAGCGTAACATTTGTGCTTTTTAGCCTGGCTTCATGAACCGAGTTCAACTTTTATTTTTACTAGGACAACTGGAAGCTGTAACACTGCAACATCACCACAAATACATGAAAGTGAGGAAAACAAGATATAAGTGCCAAAGCCCGTAAAGTGCTTGGTGGCTGGAGGGGGGAGTGATATTTTTGATGCTCAATATTTGTACAGCTGCCTGCTTAGCAGTGAGAAATGTGTAGCAAGCATGACACCGGTCAAACAGAAGAGCACTAACCTATTCGTAATGCTGACATTTAATGCTCCTGTATTTATAACCGCTCCTTTCACAGGAATGTAGGATCCTGAAGAATTTTTCCTCCTTGAGGGCCATCATTTCAGCACTGCAGTCCAACTCCATCTATCGGCTAAAGAAGACCTGGGGATGTGTTCCAAAGTAAGCTTCCCCCTCCACTCCTGTGGCTAGCCCCAAACAAAGGCAAAAAGCTCAGTGCTCTTTCTTTTCCTCTTGTTCTCAGTCTTCCTATTCTGCTCCTTCATGGACATCTGTTTTCTTAGAAGAACCTGTCATTCCTGTGAGGCTCAGACCTCTTTTTTGGGTCTGACTGCTGTGAGCTCCTCTTTCACATTGAGGGGACAACCTGCCCTCAGGGATACTGGGTCTCTTCTGTCCTTTATAGCATAGTGGATCTTTCACAACCTATTTTGAAAAACTATGGGATTAGCTACTCACCCAGTTCATGCAGACTGCTCTCAGAAGGTCAGTAAAAGGGCACTATGATACTTGCCTGTTGTCTTCTCTCCTGTGAAGTTGGAGGAGGTCCAGGTTGCTATAGACCCTCATTAATCCTCTCATGCTCCTGACATTTCCTTAGAATATATCTCCAAACTGCAAAATCCAAATCTGTATTGAAGGCAGTATTTCTTACAGGGAAATACATTTTTTTTTGCAACTGGCATATTTACTGCATGCCAAACAGACACCAGAAATGTCTGTGTAGGAAAGACTGTGTTCTGCTCATTCAGTTTGGGAAGAATAGATTTCTTCCCTTTGCATTTGGTAAACAAAGAAAAATGTCACTCTGCCACGCAGTATACTTCTGCATTTCCCTTAGAGAGAGGTGGGTCTTTCCTTCCACTGCCTGGTGTTCCTGCTCCTGATCAAAATCTTGCTATCTTGTGTTTATAGTGTTGGATAATAGGAAGGGACTCATACACGTAAATCCTAGCCTTCCAGACTGCATGTAACAGAGCAAAAATGAAGTAGTTAGAATACCTCTCACAGCTATTGTTCTGTCCCTTTGTACCCATTTATCTACTTTCTTACAAGAATCTCATACCCTGCAGTGTGACTGAAAACCCTGCTCAGGGTCTGTGTACCTACTGGCATTTCTTTGTGATGATGTCAAATAAGGCCTGACTTTACTGGGAGCTCCAGAAGATCCCAGGAAGGTTACTAGTAGGTGTGCAGCATCTCATTGGATGCATTTTGGTGGTGTTATCTTTTATATGCCCAGCTATTGATGATTCATGAGAAAAATAGTAATCTGATCTGATTTAGAGTGCTTACTAATAACTTAAATAATTTAATCTTTTCCTGTACAGGGACATAATGCTGATGTTCGAAGAGCTGTCTGATATCTTTTCAGACCATGACAATTATTTGACAAGCAGGGAGCTGCTAATGAAGGTGAGAATTAGCTTGAGCTGCAAGGCTTGTGATCTCAATCAAAGCTGAGGTTATCTCTTTTTCTAACCAGCTGTCAAAGCTCATCTCTCCCTGAACTCTACTCTGTGCGGTGCTTCAGGGAAGATAGGTCTGTGCTTTTCTGCTGGGACGAGAAGTGATTTCATTGTTCCTGAAAGAGCCTACACTAGCATTAGCCTGTTGAGCTCAGATACCCACATACAGCAGGCTGCAGCAGCACAGATTCTGTGTGGATTTGTTCACAAGACAGCAGTTCAGGACCTCTTGGAGCCCCTCAAGTTGAATGTCATACTGCTGTAGTTAGGTAACTGGTAACGCTCCCTTGGGCATGGTGATGTCTAGCTCAGGAATAGCTGTGTGCACCGTATCGTACCTCTGATAGCACTGGAGCCACAACCACGTGAAGAGGTGCTGCACAGTGTAATTTTACTGAGATGGGTTACAAATTAGCTCTTTAGCTTTATACTGCTCTGTACAGAGAGATGAACTGTTAGCTTGTGCACCCTCTAAGCAGATCTAGAAAGGCTCAGGTTTGCACCAATGAGTGCAGAGAAACTCCCAAACAAGACTCAACTGGGTTGCACCACTGCAGTGTTTTTGACTTCACTGGAACAATGCCACTCCACTTCAGCTGCGAAATTAAACCAAGATGTTTATTCAACTATCCCGTACCTTTCTTGGAACTAGAAAACAGGGCTGGGAATTTTGAAGGAACAGGCTTCCTACTCTGTGTGTGGCCAGATGGACAACAAAGCAGGCTCTGTCTGAAACAGTTTGACTTGTGTGCTCTCCTGGGCGAACCCCAACAAGTTCAGGAGCTTGAAAGGAGTGAGGAAGAATAGCAGGGAAAGGGTATATTCTGTATAAACTAAGGCATGTTTGTGGCAGTTTTTTCTGCTTACATAAAATTTTCTATAAACTGACTAACCAGCTTACTTTTTGCCAGTTCTATCCAGTCAGTCTGGCATTTGTACCTTACCCCCTTGCCTTGGTATCTGAAACACTGTGTTTTGCTCAGGAATGATGGGTGAACACATTCAAACCTGTCCGTCTGTTTTGTTTTATCATCCATTTATCAACTTCTGTAGCTAAATTTTAAAGCAGGTGAGACAATAATAAGCCTAGAGGGGAAAATGTATGTTCAGAACAGCTTATTTAACTAAATATTAAAAATTAAAAACAACAATCCAATCTGAGCCCAGGCCTCCTGGCTCCCAGCAAATCACTCTCTCCAGCTGCCATAAGTAGATTTGCAAAACATTTTGAAAGCAGTAAGAGGGGAAAAATTTCACAGAATACCTAGAACCTCTCTCCTACTTCTTGTCTTGGACCGTTTTATAACGATCTGAGGATTAATTCCACTGAATCCTTAAAGTCCGTGTTTTCTTTCACTATAAACAGTCTCTCTCAGGAAGCCATGTTTGACCTTGCCTATCCATCCTGCAAATTTAAGTGTAGAGCAGACAAAATGCCATATGAAACAGGCTGGCTGGCACGGAGAGGGACTGCTTTGTTCTCTCCTCCCCAAACGACTCTGCTGTGAGCTGCAGTTTTAGCTTCTGTGCCTGCCTGCCGGCTGCTGTTAGAGAATCTTGAGTTTACCTTTCAGTATCTTGAACATATTGAGACAACTCCTTTTTCATCTGCTCCTGTTTTTCAGCCGAGGAAGGAAATACAGTTTGAGTTATCTGTTCATTAACTGTGACTGAGAGAAGTAAATATTGTAACGAGAGGATCTTTACAAGTGCAAGCTGTTGTTTTATGCCTCTTAAAAAGACATTGATAATGATTCATGCCCCATCTATCTGACCACTGGAAAAAATAACAGTACCTCCCAGCATCCCATATGGATCCAGGGAAATAAAGGCTACAGATCTGTTGTGAAATAGCTCGTCCATTCATAGGAAAGCTTGAATTGTGTAGATGAAAACTTCCATTTCCTGCGTGGTTTTGGATTAGTCAATAAGCCACAGAGGGTAGTTGCTGGATTTCTATGTTGCGGCATAAGAAAAACAACAAAGCATTACATAAGATGGAGATGTTTGCTTGTAGCAGTCCTGATTAGGAAATTAAACAGAAATCCTGAGGTCAAGAGCTTCAGGATAGAATTCGGAGAAGCATCTGGACACCTGAAGTATTTCTAAGCTTCTCTGATTTAAACCCTCAGGAGATTATTCAACAGCACTTAGCTTTGGCAGTAGAGCTATTTTACGGAAAAAATCCCTTATGGTCATCTTGTGGGTTTTGTCCAAAATTCCCAATCAGTGTAAGAGTCCCAGAAAATTGGCATGTGTATGTATACATGCATGTACCTGCACACCAAATATTTTTGCTGGCCTAGCCTGCTTGTTTAAATGTATTTGCAATTATTTTACACAAACACAGTTGCCAGCTTACCACTTAGCTCCTTCATTAATTGCCTTTTAATTCCCTAACAGGAAGGAACATCCAAATTTGCGAATCTGGACAGCAGTGTGAAAGAAAATCAGAAAAGGACACAGAGACGACTGCAACTTCAAAAAGATATGGTATGTCTGGAGTCCCTTTCCTACCCTTTTTGAATTGGTAACATGATTAACCCTATCTGGTGAATTATATAAGAAGCAAAATCTAGAAAAGTATTTAACAAAGTGAGTGTGCAGTAGGTATTGCTCCCGAATGTGCCCTCTGTCAAGCAAAACAATCGCATCAATGCTATTGATTGATATAATGCAAATGAACTGAAAAGTTTAGACTGCATATGCAGTCAGAATGTTTGTCCCTGTAAATATATGCCCAAAGTTGTATTTCCTTTATGCTGTAGATCATAACAAGCAGGTAATGCTCTGTGTGTGTGTATATAATGTGCACATGTGTATAGACGATCCCACTCATGCATACATCTGTATATATAAACAGTTACAAAGTGGGATTAGTGCTGCACCCAGCTCAAGCTGTATGACCTGTGCTGAGCTGCCAAGCTGTGGTTTTAGTGCAATTCAGCTGTCCTTTTACTCCAGTAACACCCGCTTGTGTACTGAAATGCTGGAGAAAAAGGATATGCAAAGCATGAGCATAGCCAGTGTGTTCAGTGATCTGATGCTGGGAATGCTCAAAGATTTGAGGATTTGGTGGATGTACGCGGGGGCCGTGTTATTTTCCCTGGTGCCAATCTTTCCTTGTCCCCTGCAAGGGGATAACTGCGTGTGTAGGCTTGCTGTTCCCGTCCCCACTTGGATTTGCTTCGCATCCCAACAAGCTGTTTGGGATGGATGCTGAGCCAAGGGTTTGGCCTTAGTTTCAAGACTTCCAGAAATTTAGTAAGCCTGTCATATAAAAGGGTAATAAATGATTGATGAATACAAACGTGTTCAGCACTTTCAACTGCCTTGTTTCTGTCCTATGAGAAAGAATTGCATTAACTACTTTTGTTACCGTTTAGAGAGAAATATGGGGAAAGCCACACAACTTTCATGTAGTAAAATACATAATGTTAATACTGGAATTCTTGTGATAAAGAAAATTTAGCTCTGGCCAGAGCAGAAATCTCATTTGCTTTTAAACAGCTCATGAAGCTTCTGACATACCAGCTTGAAAATTGCACAGACTTCTACAGAGATTGCTTTGTGAAATATGTCCGGTTTCCAGTCTGCTGGTGAAAATGGCTTTTGTCTCAAAGTTGGCAAAGATTTAAAAGGATAGGGGAAGAGAAATCTGGGATAGAGGCAAAAGTGCTGAATATGATTTTTTTTGTTTGTCTATTTGTTTGACTGGAAAAAGTATGGATCCTTTTGGATGGTAGAAACAAGCTTTTCCTTCACCAGTGTAGAAACAGTCTGAACTCTACAACTGCTAGCAGCCTAGCAAGTCTAAAATTTGAATAACTGCTATTAAAATGCAGTGAACGGCTAGGGAAGATGGTCACTTATTGGAGGAAAAAACTGTGACTTGATTTGACTTAACTGTCACATGGTATAACAACATGTAAAAATCCACTGCAATGAAGCAGAGAGAGAAACTGCTTACACAGGCCAGCCAGGACCATTCCCCAGTTCTTTCTCTTGTAGCAGGTAACCAAGGGACCCTGCCCCTGGTGCCCAATCCTTCTTTCACAGCAGGGTTTCCTGGTGCCCCACTGTTAGAAATTAGTGTATGGTGGCAATATTGTAATATAAAACCACTTAGCAATATCTGTGAGAGCATCCTGCTCTCATTAGAATTTGATTTAAATTCTAGATCAGATACAGAGGATGATGTAATGAAAGTAAGCGTAATTTCTAAGACCACTGTTTGGTTAAGCAGACTATTTTTGTTTCATTAATCTTCTTATACAGGAGTATTTTAGCTTTCTAATTATTACCATTTCTCAGTCAATTAATCCAACATTACTCTGATCGTTTGCAGGGAGTAATGCAAGGCACGGTACCTTATCTTGGTACCTTCCTCACTGATCTCATCATGCTGGACACAGCTCTTCAGGACTATATTGAGGTAATTTGGGGCAATTGTTTGAATCCTAAATAGCCTCCCTGCCTTCCTGATACTGAGTGTGTCTGTTCATGTATCTTCTACTGGGTTCTCGTGCAGCTCTTAAAAATGGAGGAATCAGTTTTCCGAAAGAAAGGAAGCAATATGCAGTTTTATTAGCAACAAGAATCTTGTGTGAACTTCAGTGCAGTTATCTCAAGGAACAAGCTTAACATTTTATTTTGCCTTGTCATCTTAGGTTAGAAAACATGAAGAAAGTAGGTTTTATAGTATTCTGTTTTATTTTTCTGGAAAAAACAAACATTTTAGGTGTAAAGATTTCTGTGAATAATTGGTGAAATACACAGAATCATGAATTCAGCTCTTCAGACTCTGATCAGTGACGTTGCTTTAGTATTGGCTCAGACGTGTCTGAGCCCTAAAGTGATTAAAGACTTGTTTCTTCATTTCTCTTTAGCTGAACAAGCAGAGGGAAACAATCTAGCATAGGAAGGGAAAAGGGACTGCAACAGAGTCTGGTTGTTTAACAGAGACTGAAGATGGGGCCAATTTTTCAAAAGCGTTTGTTTCAAAGGTTTTCAAACACCTTTGAAAATTGGCCCCATACTGGAAATACTTGAGGAGCCACGTTGCAGGTGCTTAGCCTTCATTGTGCTAGTTGTTGGTATTTATGATAAGAATGGGCAAATATACTTGTTCCTGCCCTGGTAACAGTTGCTGGTTTCTTTGGTTGCTGTTTGTTTTGCAAAACTGCACTAAAGCAGATCTGTGTAAAGTTGCTACATATCCATTTTCTTTTTGGCAGTTTCCCTTCTGTCCATCCCTTAGCGTTCAGTTGGTGTTTCTGAAACTCACTGGGAACACTGCTAAACCCACAGCACAGGCAAAAGCCAAGTTTGCTTCTTGCATGCAAAATCCTGCTAGCACTCTTCGGACCTGATCTCGACACAGCTTTTACGAGCATTCTTGTATTGGGCTTTTCTTCTTGGGCAGATTGCCATTTAGGCCATGGGGACAGATATCCTTTGGAGATTCGGATATATGAGTGCTGTGGCGTATACCAGATCTGGAAACAGGTATTTTTAGAAGGTCCTTGCTCAGGGCAGGTCTGTGCTTTACATTAGTCTTGGTACTTCATCCTGTTTGTGATTAAATTCAACTGAGCATGTGCTCTTCTACTCTGATCCCTTCTCCTTCCTTCCAACAGGGTGGCCTGATAAATTTTGAGAAGAGGCGAAAGGTAAGTTGAATGTTCTGTGATTTTATTTTTTTTTTTTTATTTTTTTTTAGTTTACTGATGTCTTCTTCTAGAGCGTTCTTTTGGCGAGGCCTGTTGTCTTTGCTCAAACATATACACCAGTTGCTAATTTTAATGCGAATTCATGATATAAGAATAGATCCCTGAAACGCTGTGAGCTTCTGCCAAACTGTAAGGAGTGGTGCAGGAAAAGAACTGCCTTTTTAGATGTCTGCAATAGGGGAAGAGGAGCTACAGGCAACTTATTTCCATGGAATTTACATCTTGGACATACACATTCCCTCCATTTAGTGTTCATGGGAATATGTCACATGTGGATGTCCTATGTGTTGAGAGTGAATCAGACCTGGTTGTGTGAGGCCTTCACATTCCAGAAGACACAGTTTGTAAACGTCTTCATTCTGCTGCATTAAACTGTTTGTAGGTAAAAGCCTGCAGAGAGCAAACTAGGTACATGGCTCTGAGAAATATATGCTATCAGTCTTTCCTTTCAGCCTGATCCTTGCTGGTCAGAGATAAGTAATACTATGTAGGAGTAAAGGTACTAGTATTACATCTGTCTGAATGCAGTCGTGCCAAATCTCCATTCTCGGGTCTGAAAGCAGACTTGGATTTGGCTGCAATGGAGCCATTTCCTTTCCTTAACTGGTCCCAGCTCTACAAACCACTTCTTGGACTTGCCTTGTACATGTAACTGCACAGCTCAAGATACTAATAATGAGCTATGTGAGCTTCTCCATGGTCATCAGTCCAGCTTCACACAAACCAATGACAAAGCTGCCCTTTGATCCACGCCGAGTGCTCAGCATCATTCCTGCACCCTGGTTCTATAACCTAACACAAGAGGGTTTTAAGAATTATTTTGGTAAAGTGTGTATGCAAGTGGCGTTATAGAAGAGCAGTGTATTCTAGTCACAGGTATTAAGGGTAGCATTTTACATTCCTCTGGTGCAAGCGTGAGTGCACAAAGTGCAAAGCCGGGGAGGATCAGACTCTCTGCTTTCATTGCAAGCACCCCTAATTATTACCCTTGTTTGCTGCCTTAGAACCGCCTAAGTACAGAGCTTCTCTCAGAGCTGGTCTGGCCAGCGAAGGGGTGAGCGGGTAGGGTAATCTGAAGAACTTGTAACCCTTTGGCTGCCCTTGTTCCTAGAGGAACAACCAGCAGTGCTGCTTTTTGGTGGGTTTGCACTGGTATTACACTTTGGCTGGTACTTGAAAATAGCTCTGTGGTGAAGTATGATTCCTTGGGTTTGTCTTCTAATTTCTGTGTGTCTGATCAAATGTTCACATTTCAATGCACATTATGGATGTTGTGGGGGGGAGGCTTCATTGTTTGAAAAACTGGTTCTTGACATAGTCAGTTACTCAACTGAAACTGAACTTCAGGTCAAACTAAGTTTGTCCTGGATCTGTTGTTGCGTGTTTAGTATATGAATGAGTCTGTTTGGCTTTATCATGTTTTCTAATTAGAATTCCTATTTGATTATTTATTTTCTTAGGAATTTGAAGTAATTGCCCAAATTAAGCTCCTGCAATCTGCATGTAACAGCTACTGCATGACACCAGACCAAAAATTCATCCAGTGGTTCACGAGACAGCAGCATTTAACCGAGGAGGAGAGGTAGGTTCTCAGTCCAGCTGGCGAAGCAGGCTTTTCTTACCCCACACCCACCTGCAGGTAGGTTATGTCAGCCTTTAGCTATCCTCTTACAGCAACTTACATATACTGCTGCTGGAGGAGAGTGGAAATACATCTGCCTTCTGCTAAACAGCTGTAGAAAACCTGTTGAACACTTAGCAGGGTCTAGTTTTGAGATTGGAAATCAGGCTTCTGGCTTTGAAATACGATAGTCTGTTGTGTCTGGGCTGCCTGTATGGCTAGACATATGCTCAGAAGACAATCCTAAGGGACTTCAAGATGCAGTCACTGAGCGTTCAACTGGTGGATGCGGGCAGCAGGTAGCCAAGGCAACGCAGAGCTTGCTGAGTGCTCATCAGATTTAATGTCTCCCGGGCGTTTGGGGTGGGCTTTGCATCCCCTGCTGAGTTCTAAGCAACTGCACATGCTGCTAGACCAATCCAAGACAATTTATTTAAAACATTTTAGTATCTCCACTAGGTATTTGAATACCACTCTGCTGCACCAAGAGTGTAACCACAGATACTGAGTTGTAGTAAAAAAAAAAAAAAGTCAGCATATCCAAAATTCACGTTAAGTATTTTCTTGATTTTTTTTTTCAAATAAAATTATGAATGTCATCCAAAAAAGCACTAGTTTTTAAAACTACTATAAAGAACTGAAATATCCCCTTCATCGTGGTAAAACATGGACAGAGCTATGTTGCTCTTAGTGTGGTTGCAACCTTCTGTGAAGTGGGAATAACTGAAGGTTTCTCAAATTTCTTGAATGTTGCTACTTTGAGATATGTAACTTACAGTATTGTCTGTAAAAATTAACCCAGTGGCCTCTGTTCTGCAGTTTCACCCTGTCACGTGAGGTTGAAGCAGCTGCTGACACTAGCGCCACATCGCCAAAGGCTCGGAAAAGCATGGTGAAGAGGTTCAGCCTGTGAGTATGATGGGGTAATGCGCGTTTGGTGTGTTAACATGAACCTGAATAAATCCAACAAGCAGTACTCATTTCACTAGCTGAAAAACCTGGCTGGGGATCCAGACCACTACATTACTTTAAGGAGACAGCATCAGCTAGAAATGCATACTTCTGTCTGAAACTGTCCCTTTCTATTGTTGTAAGTAGTCGTGAGAATTATTAATGATGAAAGAGATTAGAAACAAACAAGCCTTCCTAAGGTGTCAAAAAAAGGAACCATTTTAGCACTGCATTATAAATTCAATATCTATTGTGTATAAATTCCTTAAATGCAGAAGCAAAACAGGGTAAATGAGGATAAAGTTGGCCTATTTTTAGTCTAATTTGCTATACACATGCAAAAATTCCTTGCAGGATTTTAATATGAAAATTAAGGTTAGCAAAAAAGCATTTGATAGTGGAAACAATCTGTCTAACTGCGCTCAAGTTAGAGAAGGAAAAAAAGTCATTGGGACATGGTCCGATTCAAACAGGAGGTGGGTGGAGAACAGGGGCATGCAGCTAAGCACACACAGGAAACAATATGCTATCAGGAATTCAAGGAAAGCTGCAGGGAATGAAAGCAGAGATGAAGGAATGAAGTAAAAATATTTTAAAGGTGAGAAATTTGAACCTGATGCATGAGGAGATATGAAGGGACTCCCACATACCAGTGGCATGATCAAGATGAGGGGGGAAATGATGAATTTAACAGCACTATCAGATCTTAACTCTCCTTTCCTGCTTGGTTCTTGCACCTAATTTCCCCAGATTAGCCAGCAGCCATTCACTTCATGTCAGTGCTACTCCACGTTAGGGTCTGAAAGAATAGACGTTTTCAATGTAGGGTTTTGAGTTCTGATATGCAAAAAAAAAACCCAAAAAACAGGCAGCTGTTTGGAAACTGTTTTGATTAGTCCATCCCAGTTGGTGATGATAGGCTAGAAGAACGTGAGCTTTGAAGATGACAGTGACTGAACTCTCGGTGGCCTCTCGTTTGTGTCTCACTTGGCGTGTGCATAAGAATTGTTGCTGCAGAGCACAGGCTTTATTCTCTCATTTCTGACTGCATTTCAGTGCAGTAGTATTGTAATTTACCGAATCGAGTTTGTTTGCGCTATGCAGTCTTTGTCTAAAGAATTGTTTCGTCTGCACTCTGAATGTATTTTGCAAATTAATACTGTAGAAAAGACTGGCATAATTCATCCCGGAATCAGTGAGTGACACCTCTCTAAATTGTTTTAAATCATTAACTGCATGCTGACATAGCATCTAATTCACCTTTCTTCTCTACCTTATATATTATAAAAGTTTGTTTCCTTTGACACTCCTTTACATTTACTTGACCTGCATTTAGAAATGAGTCTCAGAGAGGGAGAGCCTATAATTTACACTTTCTTATGATCTCATTGTGTACATCTCTGGTTAGACTCTTAGAGAGAAACTGGTATCTGTGGCACGTTTATTGAGTGAAAGAATTTGCATCAGGGATGAATTTGCCTTTTGAAGACCTTTGCCCGGTCGGTGTATGGCCACGCACTACCTTTCATCCACTGTTTCCCTTACTTATGGTGACTGAGTAGGTCTTGAGTTGCCTTGTGTCAGCGGGATCAGGCTGTGACAGCAGTGTGCAAGAGCACACAAGGTGGAGCAAGCTGTCATGCCTCTAACTTGCCCCTCGTCCCTTGGACTGCAAATGCACCAGATTTACGATCAATCATTTTCTGGCAAGGGAGCCTGAAAATTTAATAGACTGAAGAGGACTCTCGTTTGTGATACTGGGGCATTAGCTCTGATTTTTGCCTTAAAGCTGGTGGGTACGCTAGGTCAAGAAGGCTTTGTGTTAGTGTGTAACAAACTCTCTTGACAAACCCTATATACAACATAGAGGAAATGAAAACAATAGGTGAAAACAATAGGCCATTGTTTTGCACAAAACAAAACAATACGTAAGATTTTTGAACCAAGTGACAGCTTTGCTCAGCCCAGCTCTGTTCTGTTTTCACTTACTGGCTCTGATGCTTTCTTTTCTATACCAGACTGTTTCTAGGCTCTGACGTGATAGCCCACAGCACACCCATCAAAGAGCAACCCAAATCTACTCCAGGTGGGAGCTCTAGTGAAAGCACGGACTCGGCCAGTGTTTCGTCATGTGAGTTAAATCACTCTGAACCTGAAGACGTCTGCACCACTCCCGTAGACACTCCTGATGAGTCTCAGAAAAAGGTACGGTCTGGGCCTTGTTGCCAGCCTGTGAGAGATTGTTGACACTGCAGGCAGACCCTAGACACTTGCCCAAACCTGTTGGTCTTGACTAGAGGATTGCTCTTAGTGGAATGGGGAGACTCTAGAAATAAATGTGTACAAATGGAAGCAATCCAGTCAGAATTTTTGCAGAATCTCTGCAATGCTGCCGAGATACAGGGCAGACTGAAGCTCTCCTTCCCTGGAACCAGATTTACTTGTGGTGCCTGACAGTGTTTTTGGTTTAGGTGAGGCCCTGGAGAAGCACAAGGTTAATTTTTCTTTCAGTCCCTCATTGTGCTTTTTGAGAAAGATGGGGTAGGCTAGTGGCATTTCTACCTTTGAGCTTGTGGGAAGTGGGGTGAGGAGCCTGAGCATCATGCTTGCTCATGGCACAGGGCAGCATAACGTTAACAGTGACATCAAAAAGATTTATAAGCCCTCACAAACAAAACCCAATAAAGCAGGAGATGCTCCTCTTCAGCTGATTCCAAGATCAACAGCTAGTCACTTCCTCCCTGAATATCTCAGGTTTGATGAGTTATTCTACTGTTAGCAGCCTGCTGTCATGTCCATCATGCTCAATCAGCCGCAGCTGGAAAAGGAAGTTTGACTTTAGCAGCTGCGTGCTCACCAAGGAAAGCCCAGCTGCAGTAAGGCTGTGCCTGCACTCTGGGGAAGATGTTTTCTGGGTGGCAATGCTCGTGTGCATTAGTGACAGCCTAATCCTGGGGAATATAGAGCAGCTGCAGTTGACCAAGTGATATGCAGGTACGGTCAGAGCTCACCAGCACTGTGGGTTTGACCTCTCGTGAGCTCCCTGCTGCCAAGATGAACACCTTGGCTCAATTTAATTCCACTGGGGAAACTGGGGTGCGGTGCTGCTGCACCTCCTCCTGCACACCAGCTCACTCAGCACAAGCAAACAGTGTCTCACACAAAGGTGCTGAACCAGCGTGCCAGGAATTCCTTGTTTTGCAGAGAAGGCAAAGCCCTACACCCTGCATCATGGCAGCTGGGACACCCTACAGCAAAAGGAGTATAAGGCTGAAGCTGTGAGTTTTTGTGTTGAGGGTTGATGTGCCTGGCATGTGCCGATACCATCCAGAGAGACAAGCTATACAGGCAGGAAACCACCAGAAGGGATCTGATTATGGGAATCCACAGGGACATCTTTCCTACAGATTCTTCTCTTTTGAACTAAATTGTGTTAACTGTATTGTTAAAGCTCTTATTATGGATGTTTTGCTGAAAAGTGTCATATTGGGGTTTACCTTATTGGTATTTTAAATTAAATTGTACTAAACGTTCTTAAACCAAATGAAGCATGAGGTCCCAGACACTGGCATCCATAAATAATTTCAACTGTTTACCTGGAGCAGTTGTTACAGTGGTTTTGATACGCAAGTTGGAAATGGAAGATCCTCTCAGCAGTTTTTGAGCAGGGCAGATGAAGAGAAACCTGAGCAGCAGGGGCAGGAAGGGGGCAGTTTCCATGGAGGAAGGAATATTCAAGAAGTGGCAAACAGGGAGGGATATGTGTATTTTCACCAGTGTAAAGGCTCAGACCTGGCACAGGAGCAGGGGTACCTGTGGTGCCCTCCGCTTTTTCCCAGACAGTCCCAGTCCCTGGCTGGTTGCCCACAACTTGATTCTGTTCGTTGTATCTGCTGCCATCTCCTGGCCTGCTCTTACTGAGAGGCAAAAGCAAGCAGTGCAGTGTCAAGCACACCAAATTGGAAGTAAGTTTTCATAAAATTGGTGAAATTAATCAAGTGAAGCTCACTTTTTCTGGAGGCAAAATACCACTGCCAGCCTGCTGGATGGAGCACAGATCATGGAGGTTTTGCTTTCTGCTTTCTCAAGTTCTTCCTCCAGAATGACGTACACACAGACATACAAAAAGTCCACTTTATGACAGTGTTTTTCTTTCTTTCTGTTGTGTAGCTCTCTGAATCCTCCTCCTCTTCCTGTTCCTCCACCCATTCCATGGACACATCTTCCTCGGGGGTGTCATCTTCAGTCTCACCCCCAACTTTGCCGTCCTCCAACGACAAGTGCTCTGTCTCCGAGACACCCGTTACCTCAAAAGAACTGCCTCTTGTTTACAACCAGCAGAACAAAGATATGTGCATCATCCGGATCAGCATAGAAGACAACAATGGCAATATGTACAAGAGCATCCTGGTGAGTGGTGTGGAACTGCAAAATGCTGTTATTGTTGGTGATGGTTTCACCCAGGATGACTTAAACAAAGGGTGGTTTTAAGTTTTGAAAACACCTATTCACCAAGCTGATTAATCAGACCTGGCTTGAAAGGGAAAATGACAACTGTTACAATTCAATACATGTGGAGCCTGGTACGACTGGAGAGGTTTGAAAATAGCATCTTTGTGGAAGTTTCTGGTCTTGAAATTAAAACTTGTAATTTAGCAAAAAGTTCAAAGTGAAGCATTCTGATAAAAGGCAGGCCTTGCTGCTCCTGCCCTTCTGTTAGTGCTAGCTGCTTTCTTTCTAGCTCAGAATTCGCGTGTGAGTTTTGACACAAGGTGCCACGTGCCAAATTTTGCCTGGAGAAGCTTTCTCCCAGAGCTGGTTTCTGGAAACACGGAGCTGTATATGAGGAAGCTGACAAGCCCTTTAATTATGCAGCTTCTCTCTGTGGCAAAGGTTGCCAGACCAGCAGCAACCAGCGTTTGGGCGTTTCCCTCGATGCTGGTTTCACAGAGGGATTCTGGCAGCGCTGGGCCAGTGGCCGAGGGAGCGCAGGGTCTGTGCTGGACCATGGGCAATGTGACTCGCCTGCACGAAATCTCTGCAGACACCTGACAGACTCAGCTGCCAAGCAAACACTTCGGGTGCCTCAGGACCTGTGGGGAACAAACACACAGGAGCAGTAGTTCTTAGCACGTTTAGCTACCTTACGATTTTAATGGTCTGACCTCCCTAAATTGCAAAGAGCCGTACCTCGAGGGCCTCACAAATTCGGCTACTGGGAAGACAAATCCTCCTTTTGACTGCAGAAGACTCTGGAGGGAGCCCTGCGTCTGCTCCGGATGCACGGCACTTCCACAGCAGACAGTAAACCCAGTTACAAGGCCAAAAATCTTTGCAGGATGTCAAAGAAAGTATTTAGCACAGGAGACTGCAGATTAATTGACATCTGCAAACAACAGATGGGGTAGCTATTTATGTGGACTTTTATGGCCAGTAAGAACAATGTCTTGTCTCTCAAAGTGTTTGCTCAGGAGAGCAGACATTGTGATTTACTGCTGGCTCTTCTAGTACAGTATCTGTCATCCTGAACTAAAAAAACACCACCACCAAATGTCACTAATACCATGTTTTAGTATCTAGCAGTACCTACTTCTTTATTACTGTCCCATCATATTTTTTTCGGTTCTCTGAAATCTTTTCCAAGACCAAGTGGTCTGCAGAAAGGCAGACCTTTGCTAATTATTCAATCATTATACACAGAGAATAAGCAGAACGTCTCATTGCAACTCTATCTTTCCAGCTAACTAGCCAGGACAAAACTCCTGCTGTCATCCAGAGAGCTATGATGAAGCACAACCTGGAATCTGACTCAGCTGAGGATTATGAGCTTGTACAGGTCATCTCTGCAGACAAAGGTACGGAAGCAGAATGCTGCTGCTGCTTGAAAAGTTCTGCTGGATTCTGAAGGAGAGAGTAAAATGTGAAGGGATGTTAGAAATGCCGTGGACATGTCACAGGTGCCAGTGAGAATAACCCCCCTTGATAACTGGTGCACAGGGATGATTTATCATGGCCTGTCGGCACACCGCTTTATACAGGCAGAGCTCGCTCGTGGGTTGCCAGGTAGACATTCATACGTGCACTGCAACTGCAGAGCCATCGACCGACGAGCAGCTGCTCGCTCTCCCCGAGCACAGTCTGCCACGGGGTTGGGTGGCAGGGTACCACCTCCCTGGGGTCAGGGCTGTCATCCGGCTGCCCAAACAGTGCTTTCGGCACAGCCTCCTCTGGGAGCAGCTGCCAGGGCCTCTGCCAGGCTGGATGTGGTCTGGGTTTGGCCTCCATCTCCTCTCCTCTGCAACCTGGTTTTGTGGGACAGCTGCTGAGGGCACCACACAACGCAGCTTTGGCTGAAGAGGCACAGCAGAAGAAGGAAAGGGGCGCAGCACTGCCCAGCTGTGTACGCTCGGGCCGTTCCCCAGGTCCCTCTTCTCTCCTGCTTTTCTTCTGCTACATGCAGTACTGCAAAGTAACGCTTGCTCTGTTCCCTCTTTTGCAGAGCTGGTGATGCCAGGGAACGCCAACGTGTTCTACGCCATGAACAGCCATGTGAACTTCGATTTCATCCTGCGGAAAAAAGCTTCAGCCAACGGGCAGGTGAAAATGAGGAGCCGTTGCAGTCTGACACTCCCCAGGGCTGCCAAGCGGGGGTGCTGGAGCAACAGGCCCAACAAAATTACACTGTGAGGAAGACAAGGCCGCAGGGAGGAGAACTGTACCTTTGCTACCATCCAGTATTACAGAGTTACAGCAGATGAATGTGTCAGTATTCAACTTTGAAGATCTGAGAGGCTGAAATGCAAAGTAAGCATTTGGTAGACTTACAGCCAGAGGATGTGTGTCTCCTCCCTTGCAGCTTGATATGGACTGACAGACATGGATTTACGGGACAGTATGGACTGGATTTTTTTATTTTTTTATTTTTTTTTTGTTTTGCACATTTGCCTAGGAAGGTGAGAGCCCCAGTTAAAGGGGAAAATGGGACTGCAACATTTGTCTTAAGACACCACACAAGCCAACTCTTTTTGTGAGAAAACATTTTCCTTTGTGCCAGTATTACACAGAAAAAGAACGTCTAAATTTATTTTTATAAAACTGGAGAAGAAAAGTCTCAATACTATTCTGCCTGAACCAAGGAGGAGGTCCCAGCCAACCTCCAGCTAACTGACGGGAGCACTGGTTTGCCAAAAGTGTGGGTGAGCTCAGTGCCACTAGCAGTTGCTGCCTCCAGGGTGCCTTAGCATTCACAAAAAAGCAGGCTGGATACATCCCCAAAACACTCATTGCTGGAGACAGAAACTGCACGTGTGTGCATTGCTTTCACAAAGCTGGCAAACGTTTTTTTTTGCACTTGTTCCACGCCAGAAAATTACCTATTTTGGATTTTTTTTTTCCAAAGAACTTTAAAAGAATGGACTGCACTTGCTTTTGGATGAATGTCATGGTTTGTTCAAACAAGGCAAACAAACACTATTTGTCTGGATTTAGGTCTTGTCTTAATGCCACTACAGGGTGGTTTTCCTTTTACTTTGCTAACTCTGTGAACAGAAATCAATGCATTTTGCATGTACTCTGAAATGACTGATGACTCTGAACTGACCTCTTTGTAATGTGCAATCACTCTTCAAGAGCAAAACTTAACTCACAATTTCATTCATGAGGGGCAACTACATGACCTTTTATTTTAAAAGTAGGTATGAAGAGGAGATAGCTGGGTTTTAAGCATTACCACAAACAACCAGAGATTTTTATATACTTGTAGCATTATTATGCATAATCTACAAGCATCTCCCTTGCTCTTTACCTACATCTATTAAATGAATTTCCTGACATGGTACATCAGCTGGAACACATAATTCAGCTGGAATAAAGAATTTTGTTCTCTGTGAAACTTCAAATAATACGCTTACTGAGTTTCTTCCCAGAATACAGGCTTCCTTGATAGTTAGGATAGTTGGATATTATATTTTAAAAAGCCATAAATGAGACATTGGATTTTAAGCAGCCCTTACTCAACAGGATGTCTTTGAGATACTTCATGAATTTCTTCCCAGAATACAGGCTTCCCTGATAGTTAGGATAGTTGGATGGTTTATTTTAAAAAGCCATAAATAAGACATTGGATTTTACTCAACAGGCTTTCTTTAAGATACTTCGTGAGTTTCTTCCCAGAATATAGGCTTCCTTGATAGTTAGGATAGTTAGATATTTTATTTTAAGAAGGCATAAGTGAGACATTGGATTTTAAGCAGCCCTTACTGAACAGGATGTCTTTGAGAGACTTCATGAATTTCTTCCCTGATAGTTAGGATAGTTGGATGTTTTATTTTAAGAAGGCATAAATGAGACATTGGATTGTAAGCAGCCCTTACTGAACAGGATGTCTTTGAGATACTTCATGAATTTCTTCCCTGATAGTTAGGATAGTTAGATATTGTATTTTAAAAAGCCATAAATTAGACATTGGATTTTAAGCAGCCCTTACTGAACAGGATGTCTTTGAGAGACTTCATGAATTTCTTCCCTGATAGTTAGGATAGTTGGATGTTTTATTTTAAAAAGCCATAAATGAGACATTGGATTTTAAGCCGCCCTTACTCAACAGTCTGTCTTTAAGATACTTTGTGAGTTTCTTCCCAGAATATAGGCTTCCCTGATAGTTAGGATAGTTGGATGTTCTATTTTAAGAAGGCATAAATGAGACATTGGATTGTAAGCAGCCCTTACTGAACAGGATGTCTTTGAGTTACTTCATGAATTTCTTCCCAGAATACAGGCTTTCTTGATAGTTAGGATAGTTAGGATGGTTGGATGTTTTATTTTAAAAAGCCATAAATGAGACATTGGATTTTACTCAACAGGCTGTCTTTAAGATACTTCGTGAGTTTCTTCCCAGAATATAGGCTTCCCTGATAGTTAGGATAGTTAGATATTATATTTTAAAAAGCCATAAATGAGACATTGGATTGTAAGCAGCCCTTACTGAACAGGATGTCTTTGAGATACATTAGTCCTAGTTAAAATAAACTCAAATACTGAATTTTATGCCTGGGCCTTTTTTCCCCACCAGTTCTGTAGCACTAATTTTCAAAACTGGCCTCAGGTTACAGTAACCATCAGCAATAAACTCATGATGCAAACAATGTTGGGTTGTACTACTATGTTTTACACTACATGAAGATTTATCACCTCTGTTTACAAGTAGCACCATGTAGGCCTTAGTCTGAATAGTTTAAGAATTCCAGTTGTATGTTTGAGAGGGTAAAGATGGTGAGTTTGTAACTGAGCCTTAACCTCTGCCCAGACTTTTAGGGCAAGATTACACCAGAAGTTCAGTTTTCTTTGCATTTCAGTGTAAGCATGCATTGATGTCTGTATGGTATCCTTTGCAAAGTATGGTTTTGCTCACTCAGAGGTTGTATGTCTGTATTAAGCTGAAAGGTGAATGTTCTTGACTTTAAAATTACACCCTCCAAAAGGTTATATATGAAAAAGATTTTTAAATTGCTTACCTGTTATCTTTATACAATAAGTATATAAACTTTTTTCAACTAATATTTGTCTGGAGTTTGTCTATTTTCTTCTCTTAGACTTTATTACTGCATGTCAGCTGTGGTTGTGGGGTTTTTTTGGTTTTGGTGTTTTGTTTTGGGGTTTTTTTTGTTGTGTGGTTTTTTGTTTTGTGTTTTTTTGTTTTTTTTACAGCCCACACCACTTCCCTCACTGTCACTTTTCTTCAACTTCATCAATTCTATTAACTGTTTTCAACTTCTTCCATCTCCCACAACTCATCTTCCCTGCCATCCAGATAACTTGAAACACCACATTTTAGCTATATTCCCTTTAGCTGTAACTCTTCAGCTACAACCTTCCTTCAGCACTGTTCTATTCTTCAACATCACATCCATTAACAGTTTTGCACTGTTTGTAACACTGTCAGCATTAGTCACAATTTTTTTTTTCTAATTCCTTTAAGTTTTTATACAGATGCCCTCTGTACTGGGGGGGGGGGGGGGGGTTACTTTGTTGACAGCTAAAGGTAAACATCAGCAAAGCAAAAGCCATCCCAGTGCATCAGTCATGCACACCAACCTATTGCTATGAAATATTTTGTGCTATTATTGCTATGAAATATTTGTGCTATTATTTGAGCTTTCAGTTTAATGACTTCTGTTGTAAATAACCAGGTAACTTAGATCATACACAAATTTTACAACTTCTTCATGAAATCATTCTCTTTTGGGTCACTGAATGATTTCTGCAGGAAGTTAATACCAAAAAAAAATAATGGTTTGAGTGTTTCCATCTTTTCGCCATTGTCTCTATCATGTCATGTTTCCTCCTGGCCTCAACCCTTAGCTTGTTGGGGTTTTTGTCCCTCCCTGCACACAGTACAAATGTTTGGAGTTTACACAACTGCTTCTTCCACCTTCTAGCACAGTCTCTTTTCCCCCTCAGCCCTCTCCCACAGCTGAACTGCCATTTCACAAGTCACATCAGCTCTGGGAGAGACTTCTAAAACTGCCAAAAGTCACACTGTGAGGCCCTGAACTGCAGCAGTTGCCTTTGTCACTAAAGGGCCTCTTGTTACTACAGCAAAGGCAAAAGAAAGATTACCCTGAATTTACACTGCCCCCTGCTTTTTTTTTTTTTTTTTCCTACTTAAACTACCTAGAGAGATAAAGCACAACAAGAAAATCTCACTCAGTTTCCCTCGGGATAAATATAATCTATTTGTGAACTGGGATTTTCATATTGCCATATTGAGAGTACAACAGCACTTTTCCTTTCTTAAACAAAAGCAAAGACAGAGTTGTTTGTTAGGTTACAAGTAATCTTGTTGCAGATAATAATTTTCAGGCCTGTCACCATAACCTTTCTTGTGAACAAGCTGCTTTTTCATCTGGCTTGCTACTTACACTTTGTAAAACCTGTTCCTAGCTTCCACTGCTCCGTCACCACGCTCACTGGGGTAGGCACTGCTGGGTGTGTTTTCCATCGGCTGGAGCTCCTGGCACTTAGCTCAGATGCTTCGCAGCAGAGCAAAAAACCCCCTTCCAAAAGGAGAAAGGAAGAAGGGAAATAATGGGGGGGGAAAGAAAAAAAGCCCTCTGTGGTTCATGAAGCAGCCTGACAAAGTCTTACTTATCACTTGTTAAGTTCTGCTAAAAGAAACTCATCTTTTCAAGCTGTATGACCAAATGCATGACCACAGCGCAAGGCACTTCCACTTTTGGGTTGTGGGTACTAAACCTGCAGGAGGCTCAGAGGGGAAAGCTCTTGCCTGTGCTGCACCATATACCCCAGGACAGCACAGTCCCTGCCCTGCAGGCACCTAACAGTCCTCTCGGCCACAGCCAGGAGGCTGTTTCAACCTGATGCTGAGTTTTGAAGCCCATTAGATGAGTCCAAAAAAAAAAAAAAAAATACACAGAAAGTGGAAAAATATGAGAAAAACACAGAAGTGTTTCAACTGGCTCCTACTTTTCCAAAACACAGTTAATTCTGAGTAGGGCAAAGCCTGGGCAACACCTGCCAAAGAACTGAAAACACAGACAGGGAAAAACAGCACTTGTCATAGCAGGTAGAACCACTGGCCATCCACCACATCTTACATAGGTAAGTAAATAGAAAATTGTATACGTATACACACCCACACACCCGTGCATATAGGTAAAAGAACAATC